AATGTTGAGGCTGGCCAATCAGAGACCTTATGCAAATTGTACCACAGTGGCAGCCAATCAGAAAGCTGCCACATACACCTCCCTACGTCCACCCTCCGCATATACATACATACATACATACACAGTGCTCACTAATGCTTCCTCTTCATCTTGGAAAGAAGTGACAAGTGGAGTGCCGCAGGGTTCCGTCCTGGGCCCGGTCCTGTTCAACATCTTTATTAATGACTTAGATGAAGGGCTAGAAGGCATGCTCATCAAGTTTGCAGACGACACCAAATTGGGAGGGATAGCCAATACTCCAGAGGACAGGAGCAGAATTCAAAACGATCTTGACAGATTAGAGAGATGGGCCAAAACTAACAAAATGAAGTTCAACAGTGACAAATGCAAGATACTCCACTTTGGCAGAAAAAATGAAATGCAAAGATACAGAATGGGTGACGCCTGGCTCGAGAGCAGTTCGTGTGAAAAAGATCTTGGAGTCCTCGTGGACAACAAGTTAAACATGAGCCAACAATGTGATGTGGCGGCAAAAAAAGCCAATGGGATTTTGGCCTGCATCAATAGGAGCATAGTGTCTAGATCTAAGGAAGTAATGCTACCCCTCTATTCTGCTTAGACCACATCTGGAATATTATGTCCAATTCTGGGCACCACAATTCAAGAGAGATATTGACAAGCTGGAATGTGTCCAGAGGAGGGCGACTAAAATGATCAAGGGTCTGGAGAACAAGCCCTATGAGGAGCGGCTTAGGGAACTGGGCATGTTTAGCCTGAAGAAGAGAAGGCTGAGATGAGATATGATAGCCATGTATAAATATGTGAGAGGAAGCCACAGGGAGGAGGGAGCAAGCTTGTTTTCTGCTTCCTTGGAGACTAGGACGCGGAACAATGGCTTCAAACTACAAGAGAGGAGATTCCATCTGAACATGAGGAAGAACTTCCTGACTGTGAGAGCCGTTCAGCAGTGGAACTCTCTGCCCCGGAGTGGGTTGGAGGCTCCTTCTTTGGAAGCTTTTAAACAGAGGCTGGATGGCCATCTGTCAGGGGTGCTTTGAATGCAATATTCCTGCTTCTTGGCAGGGGGTTGGACTGGATGGCCCATGAGGTCTCTTCCAACTCTTTGATTCTATGATTCTATTTTATTATATACTAGCTTGGGGACCCGGTGGTGCCCGGGTAATTTGAGAAAGGCATTGTTTGTCAGTGCTCCAAATTTAGTCTAGATCCAATGTCAACTGGGTTTAGTGGGTGCAGGTGAACTACAACTCCCATATGCAAGTCCCATCATCCATGGTCTATCTTCCTCCAAACTGCAGCAGGATGTAGAGTGGGACATGGGAGCTCTGTGTACCAAGTTTGGTCTTGATCACTTATTAATGAGTATCACAGTGCTTTCAGGAAGTGAGTGAAGGTACTGCAAGTCCCATCATCCATGGTCCATCCTACTCCAAACTGCAGCAAGATGTAGAGTGTGTCATCAGGGGTCTGTGTGACAAGTTTGGTCTTTAACAGTTATTGAATGAGGGTCACAGTGGTTTCATTAAGTGAGTGAAGGTACTGCAAATCCCATCATCTATGGTCCACCTTCCTCCAAACTGCAGCAGGATGTAGAGTGGGTCTTGATTGGTCATTAGATGAGGGACGCAGTGGTCTCTGAAAGTGAGTGAAGGTACTTCAAGTTTCATCATTCATGGTCCGCCCTCCTCCAAACTGCAGTATGATATAGGTCAGGGGTCCACAAACTTTTTAAAGAGAGGGCCAGGTCACAGTCCCTCAAACTGTTGGAGGGCCGGATTATAATTTGAAAAAAATGAATGAATTCCAATGCACACTGCACATATCTTATTTGTAGTGCAAAAACACTTAAAATACAATAATTAAAATGAAGAACAATTTTAACAAATATAAACCTATTAGTATTTCATTGGGAAGTGTGGATCTGCTTTTGGCTGATGAGATGCATTGTTGTTGTTGTGTGCTTTCAAGTCATTTCAGACTTAGGTTGACCCTGAGCGAGGGCCGGATAAATGACCTTGGAGGGCCACATCCGGCCCCCGGGCCTTAGTTTGAGGACCCCTGATATAGGTCATGGGGGCTCTGTATGCCAAAATCAATTGTGATCAGTCACTGGTGTGGGTCACAGTGATCTGTAGAAATGAGTGAAGATACTGTAATTCCCATCATCCATGGTCCAAACTCTTCTAAACTGCAGCAGGATGTAGAGTGGGTCATGGGGCCTCTGTGTGCCAATGTGGTCTTCATCAGTCATTGGATGAGGGTCGCAGTGATTTCAGTAAGTGATGACCCAACAACTCGGTGTCGCGAGTTCGCACACCATTTTGCAGCCAAAGTTGCTCAGATACGCCTTGAGCTGGACTCCAATTTCATCACAGTGCCAGGTGAGGTGATTGAGGCATCTGCTTGTCCAATTTTGTGGGATTCTTTTAGGCTTGTTCTTCCTGAGACTGTGGAAGAGGTCCTTGGGGCTGTGAGGGTGACCACGTCGGCTTTAGACCCTTGCCCATCTTGGTTAATTAAATCGTCCAGGGAGGGGCTGGTTGATTGGTTTCAGGAAGTGCGTGAAGGTACTGCAAGTCCCATCATCCATCGTCCGTCCTCCAAACAGCACCGGGATGTAGAGTGGCTCATGGGGGTTCAGTGTGCCAAGTTTGGTCTCGATTGGTCATTAGATGAGGGTTGCAGTAGTCTTGGGAAGTCAGTGGAGGTACTTGTAGTCCCATCATCCATGGTCTGTCTTCCTTGAAAGTTCACCAGGACGTAGTGTGTGTCATGGGGGCTCTGTGTGCCAAGTGTTTTAAGTTTGGTCTTGATCAGTCATTGGCGAGGGTCTCAGTGGTCTCAGGAAGTGAGTGAAGTGACTGCAAGTCCCATTATCCATCTCCACATTCTTCCAAACTGCACTAGGATGTAGAGTGGTCATGCAGGCTCTCTGTGTGAATTGTGATCCTGATCCATCATTGTTGGCAGGAAGGGAGTGCAGGTTTTGCTAGTCCCATTGTCCATGGTACATCCTCCTCCAAACCGCAGCCGGATGTAAAGTGCGTCATGGAGACTCAGTGTGTGAAGTTTGGTCTTTATCGTTAATTGGATGAGGGTTGCAGTGGTCTCAGGAATTGAGGAAAGGTACTGCAAGTTCCATAATCTATGGTCTATCCCCGGCCAAACCACACCAGGGCGTAAAGTGGGTCATGAGAGGTCTATGTGCCAAGTTTGGTCTACATCAGTCATTGGATGAAGGTCACAGCGGTCTCAGAAAGTGAGTGATGGTACTGCAAGTCCCAAATTCCATAATCCATCCTCCTCCAAACTGCAATAGGATGTAGTGTGGGTCATGGGGGCTCTGCGTGTGTGCCAAGTTTGGTCTTTATTGGTCTTTATTTGCCCCTGGCAAAAAAAAGTGTTCTGCGACCGCTTACTTCGTGTAATGGACGAGTCGCCCCTGCATGGGGGTCATGTGTGCCAAGTTTGATCTTGATCGGTCATTGGATGACGGTCGCAGCGGTCTCGGGAAGTGAGCGGAGATACTTCAAGTCCCACCATCCATGGTCCGCTCTCCTCCAAACTGCAGTAGGATGTAGAGTGGGTCATTCACAGCACTGTTGCGCCAACTCCACTAGCTACCGATCTGCTACCGGGCTGAATTCAAAGTGCTGGCGTTGGCCTTTAAAGCCCTAAACGGTTCGGGCCCAAGCTACCTATCCGACCGCATCTCTGCCTATGAACCCACCAGGACTTTGAGATCTTCCAGGGAGACCCTGCTCTCGATCCCGCCTGCTTCTCAAGCTCGGCTGGCGGGGACGAGAGATAGGGCCTTCTCGGTGGTGGCTCCTCGGCTGTGGAACGCCCTTCCTACGGACATTAGACTAGCACCATCTCTAATGGTATTCCGCAAAAAAGTGAAGACCTGGCTGTTTGAGCAGGCGTTCGAATAATTAGTGCAATGATTGGGTAATGAACACTGGAATGGAACAATGGATAACGAATCTGGAACATGTTTTTGATGACGAGACGACAGTGAATGGGTATTGTAGTAACTGTTTATTAATTGTGTAATGTGTTAGGTTGTTAACTGTTTCTATACTGTAGCACTGAATTTTTGCTGTTCGTATTTGTTGTGAACCGCTGTGAGTCGCCTTCGGGCTGAGAACAGCGGTATATAAGTAAGGTAATAAATAAATAAGTAAGTAAGTAAGTAATTCCACCTTTTAGCACAGAAATGTTATGAATCCATAACTCTAGGATAGATGTTGTTGTTGTTGTTCATTCGTTCAATCGTCTCCGACTCTTTGTGACCTCATGGACCAGCCCACGCCAGAGCTCCCTGTCGGCCGTCACCACCCCCAGCTCCTTCAAGGTCAGTCCAGTCACTTCAAGGATGCCATCCATTCATCTTGCCCTTGGTCGGCCCCTCTTCCTTTTACCTTCTACTTATGATTATGACATATTAATTACTAGGAAAATTCTATTTCATTATTACCACTTTCTCTCTCAAAACAGTACAAATTTCAGCAACAAAACTTTATTTATATACCACTCTATCTTACCCATTAAAAAATCAACATGAGAACTGCCCTCCTTGAGGAATGGCGCCTCTTGCCTTTCCCGCCTTTTTCCCTCAGTCCCTTCACCAACAAAAGGAACAGCGCTGAATAAAGCTATTGCGAATCATGCATAGTCAAAATCCCCGTCGTCAAATTTGCATGCGGCGCCATGATTGACTGCAACGTTGATAAATTTGCATGCGGCGACCCAATTGGCTGCCACCGTCCCTCGCTCCTCCTCCCCCCCTCACCCTCAGGACTGGCGTGTTATGCATAGTCAAAATCCCCGTCGGAAACTTTGCATGCGGCGCCTTGATTGACTGCTCCGTTGCTAAATTTGCATGCGGCACCCTGATTGGCTGGCCAAGTCCCTCTTCCTCCCCTTTTCCCCACCCTCAGGACTGGCACAGCCGAACAGGCGGCTGCACTGGAGCCCCGCCTCCGCGGTGAGGTTGTCCCGCTCGCTGATTGGCTACGCGGGGCTGTTGATCACTACCTTGGCCTGGGGCTCGGCAGCAGGGTGCGTTGCGCCGGAGGCAGGCAAGCGGGTGGAAGGAAGGAAGGCAGGCAAGGGTAAGGCGAAGTGAGTCCCGATCTCTAGGTCACGCTGGGGGGGAGGAGGAGGGGGCAGGGTCACGTAGGACACCTGTCGGGGCTTGGGCGGCTAGGGCGGGGTCTTTTGGTGAGGTGGTGGGCGGGGTCTGTATGCCAATAACACGGGATGCGGGGAGGGGCGGGGCCTAATATCAGGAGGAGGGGCTTGCATGCTAATCAGGGACAGGACTGTGAATATTGATCAGCAAGGGGTGATAGTCTACTCTACCACCTCACCCGCCTCATAGGAAACCTGCTACAAAACAGGAGCTTCTTTGTTGAGTTCCAGGGCCAGAGAAGCAGATGGCAAAAACAGAAGAATGGGAGCGTGCTTGCTCCATCCATGTTCAACATCTACACAAATGACCAGCCACTGCCAGAAGGGACAGAGGGTTTCATCTATGCTAATGAAGACCCATTTAGTGAGCAGACCCTTCAGGCAGCGCAGAGCATTGTGTCCTCCATCTCTGAAGCCAAGAAAGAACAGTGGATCAAGCTGATCACAGAGGTCGACATGGGCAGGAGCAGCCAGAAGGCGTGGAGGCTGCTGAGACGGTTGAGCAACGACCCCTCACAAACTAATACCCATGCCAACATAAAGGCAGATCAGATAGCACACCAACTCTTGAAGAATGGGAAACCCAACTTGCCACCAAAGTAGGAAAGAAACCAATAGCCAGACAATCGGAGATTGAGAACAACAACCTTCATGAACCCTTTACATCTACTGAATTGGACCTGGCTCTCAATAAATGTAAAAATGGCAAAGCAGCTGGCCTGGATGATCTACGGATGGAACAGATCAAGAACTTTGGTCCAAAAGCAAGGCGCTGGCTGCTGGAGCTGATGAACAACTGCACTGTATCCTGTCAGATCCCCAAAATCTGGAGGAAAGCAAGAGCCATCGCCATCTTGAAGCCAGGCAAAGACCGTAATGATCCCAAAAAGCTACAGACCAATCTCCCTGTTGTGCCACCTCTACAAAGTTCTGGAGAGACTTATTTTGCATAGAATTATGGAAAATATAGACCCCTGTCTGATCCACAGCAAGCTGGCTTCAGGAAAGGCAAAAGCTGCACATCGCAAGTGCTGAACCTGACCCAGCACATAGAAGATGGCTTTGAAAGGCAGCAGATCACAGGAGCTGTCTTCATAGACCTGTCAGCAGCCTATGATACTGTGAACCACCGCCTTCTCCTGAGAAAAATGTATAATATCACAAAGGACTACCACCTCACCCGCCTCATAGGAAACCTGCTACAAAACAGGAGCTTTTTTGTTGAGTTCCAGGGCCAGAGAAGCAGATGGCGGAAACAGAAGAACGGCCTGCCTCAGGGGAGCATGCTTGCTCCATCCATGTTCAACATCTACACAAATGACCAGCCACTGCCAGAAGGGACAGAGAGTTTCATCTATGCTGATGATCGTGCCATTACTGCTCAAGCAGGGAGCTTTGAGATGGTAGAACAGAACCTCTCCGAAGCTCTAGGTGCTCTTACTGCCTATTACAGGGAAAACCAGCTGATCCCTAACCCATCTAAAACACAGACATGTGCCTTTCATCTCAAGAACTGACAAGCATCCCGAGCTCTGAAGATCACCTGGGAAGGAATCCCACTGGAGCATTGCAGCGCACCCAAATACCTGGGAGTCACTCTGGACCGTGCTCTTACCTACAAGAAGCACTGCCTGAACATCAAGCAAAAAGTGGGTGCTAGAAACAATATCATACGAAAGCTGACTGGCACAACCTGGGGATCACAACCAGACACAGTGTAGACATCTGCCCTTGCACTATGCTACTTTGCTGCTGAGTACGCATGCCCATGTGGAACACATCTCACCACACTAAAACAGTGGATGTGGCTCTTAATGAGACATGCCGCATTATCACGGGGTGTCTGCGCCCTACACCACTGGAGAAATTACACTGCTTAGCCGGTATTGCACCACCTGACACCTACCGGGAAGTTGCAGCCAATAGTGAAAGGACTAAGGCAGAGACATCTCCAGCTCATCCCTTGTTTGGGTATCAGCCAGCACGTCAACGACTTAAATCAAGAATAGTTTTCTAAGATCTACAGAGACACTCGCTGGAACACCTCAGCAAGCGAGAGTCCAAAAGTGGCAGGCTCAAACCCAGAACCTCAACCAATGGCTGATACCAAATGAGAGACTCCCTCCTGGCACACAGAAGACTGGGCGACTTGGAAGGCACTGAACAGACTGCGCTCTGGCCCCACGAGATGCAGAGCCAACCTTCAAGAAATGGGGCTACAAAGTGGAATCCTCGACATGCGAGTGCGGAGAGGAGCAAACCACTGACCACCTGCTGCAATGCAACCTGAGCCCTGCCACATGCACAATGGAGGACCTTCTTGCAGCAACACCAGAAGCACTCCAAGTGGCCAGATACTGGTCAAAGGACATTTAACCAGCTACCAAACTCACAAGTTGTGTATTTTTTTCTGTTTGTTTGCTTTGTTCTGTTAGAAATGTAATATAATGGACTGGTTGCTCTGACACGACAAATATAGCAAGGGATGGAACTTGTATCAGATGAGGAAAGGGGAGGAGGGGCTGCATGCTAATCATAGGGCCGGCTGTGAATATTGATCAGGAAGGGGCGGGACTTGTGCCTGTGATGAGGAGGAGCGTCAGCCTCTCCCTGGGGCTGGTATCAAGAAGAGGGGGCCTGTATGCTAATCAGGGGGAGGCCCATGAATATTGATCAGGGGCGGGACTTGTATCTGGAATAAGGAAAGGGGAGGAGCCTCCACTGGCCCCTGGGGCTGGTGCCAAGAGTATGCTAATCAGAGGCGGAGCCTGAAGAGGTTGATTGGTAGGGCCTTCCTTCCTGCTGTTGGCTCCTGCCTCTGGAACTCCCTGCCACATGATGCTGATGCTCCTCCAATGGACCAGTGATATTTTCTGATTTGCAAGGCTCTCTCTGTGCTGCTCCGTTCCCTCAGAGGAAGGACAATCGCCCTCTTCTCTTGCTTTGTATGCATCTCCTCCTGCCTCCGGGCAAAGAGTCCATTAGGGCCTTTCCTGCCTTTGCCAGAGCTTATGTCTTCATTGCTTTTCCCATTGTGTTTGTGTAATTATATTTATCTCTCATCGCTCGCTATATATATATATATATATATATATATATATATATATATATATATGTCAAAGTCTGTATGTACTTCTGTTGGTTGGTTAGTTTGTGTTCCAACAACTGACTGGGTGCTCTGGACCAGATTTGGTACGAACGCCTTCCAAGTCCAAGTAGGTTTGATTACTGGTTTGTTTGTTTGTTTGTATCACAAAGGTATGAAAGAAAGAAGGAGGAAAGAAAGAGAAAATGAAAGGGGAGAGAGAGATAGAGAAGGGAGAAGAAAGGAAGGAAGAGAAAGGAAAGGGAGCGATATGAGGGAAGGAAAGAGAAAGGAAGAAGAAAGGAAGAGAAAGGGAAGGGGGAAGAAAGAAAGGAAAAGAGAGAAAGGAAAGAAAGGGGGAAGATGTATGAAGGAAAACAAGGGAAGAAGAAAAAGAGGGGAAGGAAAGAAAGAAAAGGAAAGGTAAGAAAGAAAGGAGGGAGGGAGGGAGGAAGAGAAAGGAAAAGGAGTGATATGAGGGAATTAGAGAAAGAGAGAGAAGGGAGAAGAAAAGGAAAAAAGAAATGATGGAAGGAAAGAAAGAGACAGGAGGGAGAAGAAAAAAGGGAGCTAGGGAAGAAAGGAAAGAGAAAGGAAGGGGAAGATATAAGGGAAGAAAGAAAGAAAGGGAGAAAAAAGGAAGGAGGAGAAAGGAAAGAAGGGAGGAAAGAAAGAGCAAAAGAAAAATGAAGGAAGAGAAAGGAAAGGGAGCGATATGAGGGAAGGAAAGCGAAAGGAAGAGAAAGGAAAGGGGGGAGAAAGAAAGGAAAAAAGAGAAAGGAAAGGGGGAAGATATAAAGGAAGGGAAGGGAGAAAGAAAGAAAGAAAAAAGAAAGAAAGGGAGAAAAAAGGAAGGAGGAGAAAGGAAAGAAGGGAGGAAAGAAAGGAAGAGCAAAAGAAATAAACAAAAGGAGAACAAATGAAGGAAGAGAAAGGAAAAGGAGCGATATGAGGGAAGGAAAGAGAAAGGAAGAAGAAAGGAAGAGAAAGGGAAGGGGGAAGAAAGAAAGGAAAAAAGAGAAAGGAAAGAAAGGGGGAAGATGTATGAAGGAAAACAAGGGAAGAAGAAAAAGAGGGGAAGGGAACGAGTTGCAAACCCCGGCATTGCAGCTGCGTCTATACACTACTAGTAAATACATGTGTGTGCATGTAATCCTCTTCCTTGATTAGCTTTCTTTCTCTCCTTCTGTCATCCCTTCATCCCATTACAGCGCATCCTTCTCCAAAGCTGCAGAAAGCTTTTAAGCTGCGCTTTTCACCCCTCGGGAGACCAAATAATCCTGTTTCTGTGGATTATGATGATGATGATGATTATTATTTAGAGTCTACATGGCCCTCTGTAGGGAGGGATCAGATGGTGCTTTCCTACAGAATGGCAGGAAGGGGGTGGAATAGATAGCCTTCAGAGGTCCCTTCTAACTCTAGGATTCCATTGTTCAAATATTATCATCATCATCATCATCATCATTGTTATACCATCTGATCCCTCCACACAAATGGCCACCCAGCCATATAGTACTCCCTCCTTCTAACCCAAAGCACTCAGAAAGCTCTTCCCCCATTTGAACCCACTTTGGGGTCAGATCTATAAGGAAAATGGCTATTGGCATTTGTCGTATTTGCCCGCCCTCCCCCCCTTCCCCTTTGAGCTCTCGATCGATTGCATTGATCCTTCTCAGGACGCAATAGATGCACATACAAACACATAGAATGCATCTCTCTGTTGTTGTTTTCTTTCAGGAAACCTAACGGAGGAGGCTGCGTCCAAAGGAAGCAAACTAGAAAGCAAGCAAACTGAGCCTTTGCCATTCACCTGACAATAGGTAAGCTGTGTATGTGTGTGTGTGTGTGTGAGAGAGAGAGAATATCATAGTTTTGGAAGGGGTCCCCAAAGGCCATCCAGTCCAGCCCCGTCCTTAACTGTGAGTCATTTGCAAGTCGAATTAAGAATATTATTATATAATTATATTCAAAATATAATAGCAAATATAATATTGTGGGCGTCTTCCTCTCTAGGCAGGCCCTAGGGGGCCGATGGACGGTCATGTCGGCCACTAACAACGTCGCCCAGGCCCGGAAGCTGGTGGAGCAGTTGCGGATTGAGGCCGGGATTGAGCGCATAAAGGTCTAGCATGTGTTGCATGCGTGCGGAAGGGCCCCTTTCTGTGTTTATTTCATGGGGGAATCATAGAAACCTGTCCCACCTGCACATGGAACCTACTACTTGTTGCTACTACTACTACTACTATTATTATTATTATTATTATTATTATTATTACTACTATTACTATTACTTCTGTTGTTGCTGTTATTATATATATTCCCCTTTCTCTCTCCATTCTCTTCTCCATTTTTTCTCTCTTCCTTTTTCTCTTCTTCTTTCCCTTCTGTTCTCCATCTTTCCCTCTTTCTTTCTCTTCTCTCCTTCCTTCTCTCTCTCCCTCCCTCCCTTTCTTCTTTCCTCCATTTCTCCCTCTTTCTTCCTCCTTTTCTCTTCCTCCTTCCCTCCCTCTTTGTATTCATTCCCTCTCTTCTCTCCTTCCTTTTCTCTTTCCCCTTCTCTCCCTTCCTTTTCTTTTCCTCCTGCCCTCCTTGCATTCATTCCTTCCCTCCCCCTCCCTTTCTCTCCTTCCTTTTCTCTCCTCTGTTCCTTCCTCTTCTCTCCCTCTTTCTTTCCTTTTTCTCTTCCTCTCTCTTTCCTTCCCTCTTTCCTCCCTTTATGCCTCCTTCTCTTCCCCTTTTCTTTTCCTTCTTTCTCTCCCTCCCTCCTTTCCTTTTCTCTTCCTTCCCCCCTTCCTTATCTATTTATCTCTTCCTTTTTTACTTTCCTCTCTTCCTTCTCTCCTTCCTTTTCTCTTCCTTCCCTTTTCTCTCCTTCCTCCCTCCCTCCTTCCCTTTCTTCTTTCCTCCATTTCTCCCTCTTTCTTCTTCCTCCCCTCCCTCTTTGTATTCATTCCCTCTCTTCTCTCCTTCCTTTTCTCTTTCCCCTTCTCTCCCTTCCTTTTCTCTTTGTTCCTTCCCTCTCTTCCTTTTCTTTTCCTCCTGCCCTTCTTGCATTCATCCCTTCCCTCCCCCCTCCCTTTTTCTCCTTCCTTTTCTCTCCTCTGTTCCTTCCTCTTCTCTCCCTCTTTCTTTCCTTTTTCTCTTCCTCTCTCTTTCCTTCCCTCCTTCCTCTCTTTATGCCTCCTTCTCTTCCCCTTTTCTCTTCCTTCTTTCTCTCCCTCCCTCCCTTCCTTTTCTCTTCCTTCTCTCCTTCCTTATCTTTTCATATCTTCCTTTTTTCCTTTCCTCTCTTCCTTCTTCCTTTTCTCTCCTTCCTCCCTCCCTCCCCAGGTCTCCAAGGCCTCCTCAGAGCTGATGAGCTTCTGTGAGCAGCAGTCTCGTTCCGACCCACTCCTGGTGGGCCTCCCGGCCTCTGAGAACCCCTTCAAGGACAAGAAGCCCTGCAACATCCTATAGCAGCCCTGCTTTTACTTCCTCTTCCAGGAATGGGGGGGATGCAGGCTTTGTGCCCCCCCCCCCCGCACCCTTTTGCATTTCCTCTTCCTGCCCTTTGCCCTTGAGAATGGAAGCCAAGGGGAGGGGCTGTTCTAGTTTCCTTGCAGCCCCCCTTTCTAAGGCCCTCCCCTTTGTAGCTAAGCCCAGTCCATTTTGAATATTCCCACGCCTGAGTGGGGTCTCCTTCTCTTGGGCCAGAGTTCCACAGGGGGGCCCTGCCCCCTTTCTGAAACCCCACCCCCCAAACAGTGCCAAACTGCTCCTTAATGGGGAAACACCCCCAATTGCACCCTGGCCTTCCATTCGGAATACTGTATTTTACCTTTTGATGAACGAATGAATGTGAGCTTGAATTCTTACCATTTCTTTTAAAATACATACATACACACACACACACACACACACACACACACACACACATATATATATATACTTTCCCCTTCAGTGTGCCATAAATAAGTGTTTTAAACTATTTGTGAAATCGCTGTTTTAAAGGATCAGATGATGGATCAATAAAACCCATCAATAAAAGGCGTTGCTTTTGTCCTTTACTTGGAAGTACTATGTGTTTTAATTGTATTTGTTTATTTTCGTGTATTTTAAGCATTGTGTGTGTGTGTGTGTACACACACACTTATAGGTAAAAGGTTTTCCCCTGACATTAAGTCCAGTCGTGTCCAACTCTGGGACTCTGGTGCTCATCTCCATTTCTAAGTCAAAGAGCTGCCATTGTCCGTAGACACCTCCAAGGACATATGGCCTCAGGCATGACTGCATGGAACACTGTTACCTTCCCGCAGAAGCAATACCTATTGATCTACTCACATTCTACGACTAAAATGATTAAGGGTCTGGAGAACAAGCCCTATGAGGAGCGGCTTAAGGAGCTGGGCATGTTTAGCCTGAAGAAGAGAAGGATGAGAGGAGATATGATAGCCATGTGTAAATATGTGAGAGGAAGCCACAGGGAGGAGGGAGCATTTGTTTATTTATTTATTTGCTTTGCTTTGCTTATATACCGCTGTTCTCAGCCCAGGGGCGACTCACAGCGGTGTACAACATAGAAAGAACAAGGTTCAAAATGCAAGACACAATATAAAATAATCCACAGTCCATCATTAACAAAAAACATCATCATCAAAAAACATCATCAAGCTTTTTTTCTGCTTCCCTGGAGACTAGGACGCGAAACAATGGCTTCAAACTACAAGAAAGGAGACTCCATCTGAACATGAGGAAGAACTTCCTGACTGTGAGAGCCGTTCAGCAGTGGAACTCTCTGCCCCGGAGTGTGGTGGAGGCTCCTTCTTTGGAAGCTTTTAAACAGGCTGGATGGCCATCTGTCAGGGGTGATTTGAATGCAATATTCCTGCTTCTTGGCAGGGGGTTGGACTGGATGGCCCATGAGGTCTCTTCCAACTCTTTGATTCTATGATTCTATTTTATTATATACTAGCTTGGGGACCCGGCGGTGCCCGGGTAATTTGAGAAAGGCATTGTTTGTCAGTGCTCCAAATTCTATGATTCTATGATTTGCATGTTTTCACACTGCTGGGTTGGCAGAAGCTGGGGCTAACAGTGGGAGCTCAACCCGCTCCCCGGATTTGAACCGGCGACCTTTTGGTCAGCAAGTTCATTGCGTCACCGGTGACTCCATATATACGTGTGTGTGTGTTGTTTGTTGTTTATTTGTTGAGTCTCTTTCGACTCTTCGTGACCTCCTGTTCCCAGCGCAGGCCAGAGCTCCCTGCAGCTCTTTCAAGGTCGAGCCAGTCCCTTTAAGGATACCCTCCATCCAGCTTGCCCTTGATCAGCCCATCTTCCTTTTTCCTTCCCCTTTTCCCAGCATCATTGTCTTCTTCAAGCTTTCCTGCCTTCTCATTATGTGGCCAAAGGATCTTTGCCTCTAATATCCTTCCTTCTAATGAGCAGCTTCCTGGAGGATGGACTGGTTAGATCTTCTTGTGGTCCAAGGCACTCTCAGAATTTTCCTCCAGCACCTCAGTTTAAAAGTGTCTATCTTCCTTTGCTCAGCCTTCCTTATGGTCCAGCTCTCACATCCATAGGTTACTACAGGGAATACCATTGCTTTAACTATGCGGACCTTCATTGCCAGACTGATCTCTCCTCACTCTTTGATCGAGATTGCTCCTTGCTCTCCCAAGAAGGAAATGTCATCTGATATATGATACCTTACTTTTCTCTCTAAATGAGAAACGGGGAGCGGCTTCCATGATTAAGTTATATAAAAATAAATAAGCAATATTATTAAGAATAATACCTTGCTTTTATCTCTAAACAAGAATAGCAGAGCAGCTTACTATCTATCTATCATGACTAAAAGACATAAAATAAATTTAACACTATTAATATAATAATAGGTTTTATAAAGAGTTTTCTGGGCTCTTCCCACTTGGTCCCATAACAACAACAACAACAACAATAGAATCCTAGAATCCTAGAATTGGAAGGAACCCCAAAGGCCATCCAGTCCAACCCCCATAAAGGATCCCTCCGAGCAGATGGATTTTTTATTATTACTATTATTATTTTATTATTATTTAATAGTGGCTGATGGAAACGTGGTTATAACCCTGATCTGATTTTTGTAAATGATAGCATAGTCCACCAATGCATTAAAAGGGTATTAAACCCAATACTTAATACTCAACACAGACCAATATGCTGCCAAGCATATGCGGCTGTGAGACCAAAAAGTGTCCCTTTCCACCAAAGATATAAATTCAATAAAGCGAACTGGACAAAGTTCACAGAGAATTTGGAAGCAGCTAGAACCTATAGCAGGCTATGACCTGCTATAGTTTGTAGAAGCTATGAAAAGATTCTTGAGGCTTTCAATCCCTAGAGCAGTGTTTCTCAACCTGGGGGTCGGGACCCCTGTGGGGGTCGCGAGGGGGTGTCAGAGGGGTCACCAAAGACCATCAGAAAACATAGTATTTTCTGTTGGTCATGGGTTCTGTGTGGGAAGTTTGGTCCAATTCTATCATTGGTGGGTTCAGAATGTTATTTCATTGTAGGTGAACTATAAATCCCAGCAACTACAACTCCCAAATGTTAAGGTCTATTTTTCTCAAACTCCTCCAGTGTTCACATTTCAGCATATTGAGTATTCGTGCCAAGTTTGGTCCAGATCCATCACTGTTTGAGTCCACAGTGCTCTCTGGATGTAGGTGAACTACAACTCCAAAAATTCAAGATCAATGTCCACCAGATCCTCCCAGTGTTTTCTCTTGGTCATAGGAGTTCTATGTACCAAATTTGGTTCAATTTCATCATTGGTGGTGTTCAGAATGCTCTTTGATTGTAGGTGAACTATAAATCCCAGCCACTACAGCTCCCAAATGACAAAATCAATCCCTCCCACAACCGCGACATTCAAATTTGGGTATTTGGGATTTGAAAATACATCTTGCATATCAGATATTTACATTATGATTCATAACGGTAGCAAAATTACAGTTACGAAGTTGCAATGAAAATGTTATGGTTGGGGGGTCACCACAACGTGAGGAACTGTACTAAGGGGTCACGGCATTAGGAAGGCTGAGAACCACTGCCCTAGAGGCTGTCATACAAGCTACCTATTATTATTATTATTATTATTATTATTATACTTTATTTGTACCCCGTTAGCATCTCCCGAAGGACTCGATGTGGCTTACAAAGGCCAAGGCCTCAATACACAACATAACAATACACTTAAAGTAAATTAAAACAATTAAAGCAGTATTAAAAACAACAAGCAATAAACAATACATCGAAACACGATAAAACTGGGCCGGGCCAGAGTAAAGGGTACAGGATTAAAAGTGCTGATGTGACAGGTGATATGTAAGGATTATAGGGCAAGTGCAGTGTGCAGTGTGCAGCGATCTAATTCTAATAAAGTGCTTCTGGGACTTGGTATTGGAGATTTCCTAATCGGGAAAGGCACATCGGAACAGCCAGGTCTTCAAGTTCTTTCTGAAGACTGTCAATGTAGGGGCCTGTCTAAGATCTTTGGGGAGGGTGTTCCAGAGACGGGGGGCCACCACGGAAAAGGCCCTGTCTCGTGTCTCCACCAAACGCACTTGCGACGCAGGCAGGATCACGAGCAGGGCCTCTCCAGATGAACGTAGTGAACGCATGGGTTCGTAGACGGAGATGCGGTCACGCAGGTAGGCTGGTCCCAAACCGTTCAGGGCTTTGTAGGTAAGCACCTGCACCTTAAATTGGGCTTGGAAGATGAACGGTAGCCAGTGGAGCTCCTTGAACAGAAGGGTTGACCTCTCTCTGTAAGGAGCGCCAGTTAACATCCTGGCCGCTGCTCGTTGGACAAGTTGGAATTTCCGAGCCGTTTTCAAGGGCAGCCCCACGTAGAGCGCATTACAGTAATCCAACCTAGAGGTGACCAAGGCATGGACCACCCCGGCCAGATCAGCCTACGAGTCCCCCCTAGGAGGTTGAGAAGGGCGAGGTACAAATACCTGAAATAAATAAAATAAAAGAATCGCTTAACCACCTACAGGACTATTTCAAAAGAATCCATACAGAAATGACACTATAACAGTGGGCCAAAAATTATCTACAGCCATAGCTAATGCTAAAGAAAGACCACTGGATAGAGATGCTTGAGAATCTAGAGTAGCCAAAGAGCTTGGCAATTGCTGAGGCGCCTGGATAGTGACCCTGTGGTCAACTGTGGACATGCAAATGCAACACTAGACCAGATAGCACAGAATGGGAAAACCAATTGCAGCAGAGTAAAGGTGGGACTCAACAGGGCGCCAGAACTTGAAACACACCAGTTGTCATCTCCCCTAAACCTGAAAGAACTCAGAGAAGCTATTTAGCAATGTAAAACTGGTAAAGCACCTGGCCTAGATGACCTGATGATGGAGCAAATCAAACACTTGGGCCCCAAAGCTGAAAACTGGCTTTTGAAATTCTACAATCACTGCTTGGCGCACAAACAGATTCCCAGACTGTGGAGGAAAACTAAGATCATTGCTATTTTAAAACCTGGTAAAGATGCTTACCATGCCAGGAATTACCGGTCAATCTCGCTCCTATGTCATCTATATAAAGTACTATCTGTCCTCTGCCACGTGTTGCTGTGGCCCAGTCTGGTGATCTGGCAAATAATGAGAAAATGCTGGTTTCTAATATATGTAATTTCTTTATGCTTGTGTGGGTAAACAGTATTTCTTGTTGTTTTTCTGTCAGTGTTGATGTAGAGATTGTCTGTTTTACCTACTCTGGAACATGCCACATATAATTGTCCTTCTTTAGGGGTCCCTTTCAAATCTGCCATATACATATATATATGTGTGTGTGTGTGTGAATCATATATATCTATGTATATCTATGGCTGGATAGGTCTTTGTTGGGAGGGCTTTCATTATGTTTTCTTGCCCTGGTGAAGGGAGTTGCATTGGATGGCCTTAAGGCAGCATTTCTCAACCTGGGAGTCGGGAGTCACGAGGGGTTGTCAGAAGGGTCACCAAAGACCACCAGAAAACACAGCATTTTCTGCTGGTCATGGGAGTTC